TGAACTCACGATCCTCCTGTCTCAGCCTCCTGATAGCAAAGTTTACCATCTTACTACATCTACTCCAGATTATTTTTATATTTTTATTCATTTATTTTTACCAGGGATTGAACACAGGGGTGCTTAACTATTGAGCCACATCCCCAGCCCCCCCCCTTTTTTTTTGAGACAGGGTCTCATTAAGGTGCTCAGGGCCTCGCTATTTGGCAACCTCCTGCCTCAGCCTCCTGAGTGGCTGGGATGACAGGCATGCGCCCCCATGCCCAACTGTCTATGATTTTTAAAGAAGGTGTCTCAGATGGTGGCTTTCTAGGTTAAGTAACTTAGCTCCTTTCTGTAAGAGCTAAGGTATTCTGCAGGGTTAAGGCTTTAAACTGTAGCACTCCCTTGGTGTATGGGACTAACAAGAAGCCAGACCTATCCGAGGTGGCACACAGCATCTCACTTGATAGGTCCCATGGCAGTGGCCTTACCTCCATCCCTGTGGCCTCTCTGCGGCCTCTCTGCAGTGGCTCTGCCACTCCCCCTTGTCCACAGTCTCTCAACATCCCCTCCACCAACAGCAGTCCTGAAACTCCCTGCCCTGAATTCTCCCTGCCGGTCCATCCACTGCTGGCTCATCTGTATTCCGAGAGAACTTTGTTTTCCTTTTCTTCCCTTCCCTCAATCCTTTTAATCCTCTAGTTCAAGCAATTAGCTCTACAAATATTAGCTGCAATCAAGGTCTAGCACATGTGGTAATTTTCCCTCTAATAAATCAATCAATTCTTTCTGTGGAGTGTTTTTCCCCCTTACAGTCATTAGAGAATTACAATACTACTTGAGGATCACCAGCAACTTGAATTAGTCAAGGAACGTCAATCAAATTTGCCAGATTTTGCTTTAAAGATGAGAAAAATGGGACAGATTCACAAAGGCCTCTTGTCTCAGAATAGGAAGCTTGATAGGCCCTTGTTGAATCTCTCTTAGGCCTTGAAGCATAATGATCCATTTGGAGAAAAATGAAAATCACCACTCCCAGTGACAAATCAGACAAAATGCAGAACCTCTCATTAAATAATCTAAAAATTAATAATTGGAATAATCCACTATGCAGTGTCCTTGGGCAGTGCAATAGTCCACACCAGCTAATAGGTTAGAACAGCAAAGGAAAAGACAAAGAATGCAGCACACAGACACATTTTAGTTCCATAACTTACAGAAAAAGTCTTTCTTTTAGTTTGAGGGAAACTAAAGATGCAAACCGAGCTTCTCAGTGCTGTGGGGCGGAGGAGGAGCTCTGGGGAGAAAGGCGCTAGGCTCAGGGAGGGCTCCCACACATCCCTCCCAGCATGGCCTCCTTCCCCACTCTTATCTGGCCCAGGAGTTCAGTGAAGGAAATGCCTTTTCTGCTCAGGGGTCATATGGAAGTCACCTGTGTGGTCCAGGCGCTATTTTCATAAATACGTAAGATGAATCCCAGAGAAATTAAGGAATTCTTAGTGACAACCTGAAAACAGAGCCTCTTCCACTCCATGCCCTGTCCCGCAGTCTATTAGGCTGGGGAGCAAATCAAGTGAGAATTGATCTGGGTCTAATTTTGGTTTTTGTTTTCAAATGGCCCGTACAACCCCCACCCCCAATTGGCCGAATCAGCACAAGGAGAGGCCTGACCACTGCCCTGGGAGCAAAGCCAGACTGCAACTGTGCTCCTTTCTCTGCGGTCTTTCTAGTTGCTCTGAAAAATCATATCATTATCCAGCTCCCGAAGGGGGCCCAGGGTAGCGGGAGGCCTAGTTCCACTTTCTGATGTCACCAACTGTATTCCTATTAAGACTGAAAGAAGTAAGGATTTCAGAAGGGTACGTACGTACGTGGTGAAAACTTGCTGACGCTAATGACTCAAAGGCTCAGAGAGACTGAGAGGAGAATGTGTCATCACTGTCATTCAAGCCATCTGAGATGAAATCTCAAAAGACGGCTGTCAGGCATGAGTGCCAGCTCCCTCTGTCATCCTCAGAGGGCGGATCACACACTACTATGCAGCCCGTGGGTGGCGGAGGCTGGCGTTTGAAAGGAAGCTTCACAGAGAAGAGGCAAGGTGGGCGTGGGACCCGAGGGGGCTGTGCACATGACCAGGACACATCACTCCCGACATTCACTGGCTGGTCTGGGGCAGATCATGATCCAGGGCCTGGTTGTCATTCTTGGATGTGCTGAAACCCGACCCATTAAACACGCTCCTAGTACGACATGCTCTTGGGGCTGAAAATCTTCAGAAAAGTTTGAACTGTAAATATTAGTGCCTAGCTGTTAAGTTACCATGGGACTATTCCTCTGTGGTCCGCAGGATATCCATGGCTGGGTATTTCTGCCTTGCGACACTGGCAGAGTCTTGTTAGCGATCAGAAGGTGGCCATGTGGGATGGGTGGTAGGGCAGGAGCTCTCCACCTCAGTGTACCTTGCCACCACCTAGGGCCACACTCTAAAATCGAATAAATCTAATCTCAGTGGGGAGAACGCAGACATCAATATGCTTAAATTCTCTCTGAGTGATTCCAACGAGCAGCCACAGCTGAGAACCACGCAGTTAGAGCAAAGGGTGGGCTTCAGGCCATTTTTAATTTGTCAGGTAAGGACATTAAAAATTCAAGTCCCATTATTTCATTAAAGAAAGGAAATTTTAACAAGCATCAGGAAGGACATACTTCAGGATACAAGATGAATGAGTCGTCTTCCTCTTCCCATCTCTACAACCCGAGATCATTTCCCTCTGAGCAGATGCAAACTTCAGAACTTAAGAGACCCGCCTTCTCTGTGGTCCACACTCGGGCCTCTCAGTGGACAGCTGAGACACACGGGGTGGGTTTTGGTTAACCAAACTCTGTGCAGTGCTCACTCCGCCTCTCTGGACACATCCTGTCCCCGGCAGTATGAATACCATAGAGTGAATCACAGGTAAGTTCTGCACCCAAGTTTGGAAATGCTGTCTTTTACAGTGACCAAATGTGTTGATTTAACAAGCTTAGCTCTCCTCAGACATCTTCAGCTAAGGTTTCTGGGGTGGGTGGGGCACATAGACCCCAGGTAAGTACTTACTAGGGGCACTAGTGCCCTCTTCTTGTACTATGACGACCATTACTCTAAATCCAGTGGAGAATTTATTAGATAGTAAAAAATCTGTAATGAGTTGTTTATTTGATATCAAGTTTCACAAAATAGAAAGGCTTACTTACATTGTGAAGCCCCGTTTTGAGTGCTTCCTGAGAATCCCTACACCTGTCCCTTCCCGGCCGGCTGTGGATTATGTTTCTCTCCTCTGCCCTGAAGGCACTCAGGTCTACAGTTAGCGTCAGCCTCCAGGAATCAATAAGATGGGGTAGCCCAGCTGACTTCACCTGTTCTCTGAGAGCACATCCCAAAGTTCCCTTCTGGGTGTGCTTAATGTAGACACTCATTTATGCCCGACAATGGTGACATAAATCTTCATTTATTAATTTCTTCTAAGCTGGCATGCTTAAAGGGGAATCAAGAGAATAGATACTAGAATTAATAAGTGCTCTGGGACAACCTCAAAAGTTCTGCCTGCAGACATCTGTGTTCTTCAGGAACCAGATGCATAACGGGCTACTCTGCCCTGGTTACGCCCAGCCAACTCAACTCCAAACAAAGAGCTTGCCATCTCTGCAAGATTGGGGGCTTTGCTTAGGACAACCCCAAAATCCAGAGTTTCAAGAACTGGATTTGAGCCCAAACTCCACTACCCTCTTCCACAAGCTGATCTCTCTGGCCTCAGTTGCCTTACCTATAAAATGGGGATATCGTCATCATCTCCTTCATTTTATGTGATCATTGTGAGAATTAATTCACATAATTTAGGTGAAACACTTAGCAAAGAGCCAGGCACACTGCGTTCGTACTAAAAGTGAACTTCCTACATTGGCGCTCAGTGTTGTGACATGGCGTTTGATAGCACACCTGTTTCTGTTGGTAGAGAGAGGACTTCCATGGGACATCAGAGTTAAGAAGCTGTCACTGCATCCCGAGCTTTAGTTCTTAGCCACAGGTCAGCCAAACCTGTTTTGCTACATGATCCTGTTTGTGACTTTGTCTCTTGGCTCACCTTCTCTGGGACCCCAGTTCTTGTGGTGGATTCCATCTGACCACAATCCCTTTCCATTAAAATGCCCTCACCTTGACAGAGTCTCATGGTCTTTGCACCTAGAACCACAGTCCCTTGCTATGATTCAGAAGCAGCCAAACGCTCTGAAGGAACGTGATAAAACAGACACGTCTGCCCGTACATCTCCACATATTCACATGCCAGGAGGAACAGGAATCAAATTCTCTACTGATACATGGCTTCTCAACCACGGATCTGGAAGAGATGGAGATGAGGGGGACACACTCTGGGGTACCCGTCTGGCAGCCAGGCAGGACCCAAGGCAGTGTGAGGCTTTCATTCCACTACAATTAAATCCTTAAAAAAAAAAAATCAATGAACCACATTTACACATGCTCTCCGACCTCTGCCAAAGCACCTCCGCCCCTCACCCGCCAAAACCAAAACCAAAACCGACAGAAAAACCCAGCAGCAAACAATCGTCTTGAGTTGCTGAGCATCTGTGGGGACTCCAGCCACCCAGACGACAGCAGGCTGAGGCACGAGGTGCCTCTCAGGTTACAGGTTCCATCTGTTACCCTAGACCTTCTTGCTAAGTGACACACGAGGAGACACCCGCAGGCAGCTGGAAGGAGTTTTATTTTATAGATTTTTTAGTCCGGAGATTTCAATTTAGAGAGAAGCAGTGGAAGGGGAGAGAAGGCAGGAATGAGTGACGAGGAAGCCTTTGTCCACTGACGTGCCACCTGGCAGGAGCCCCGTCCACGGTGGGGGTGCCCTGCAGCCAGCATCTGTCCCTTCATCGTCTATAATAGATGCAGCCAGAGGGGCAGGCCCTTCTCCGGGCGCACCAAGCTCTGCCTTTGAACTGCTCCTTCTGCAAGGCCGTCTCTCATCATGCCAAACCAACAGAAGAAAATCATTTTCTGCACGGCTGGTGTGTTAAGTTTCGTGTGTGCCCTCGGAGTTGTGACAGCCCTGGGAACACCATTGTGGATTAAAGCCACCATCCTCTGCAAAACCGGGGCTCTGCTTGTCAATGCCTCTGGGCAGGAGCTGGACAAGTTCACGGGTGAGATGCAGTATGGACTTTTCCACGGACAGGGCGTGAGGCAGTGTGGGTTAGGAGCAAGGCCCTTTCGCTTCTCATGTAAGTAAGCATGGCGCCTGAATCCTTTAGAACTTTAGGAGTGCTCTTCCAACTGTGGCGAGGAATGGTGTGGGATGTCATCCAGTCTACTCCAGGACTGTTTAAACCTGTGTGAACGGTTTGAAATACCCAGGACTCTGAACAATTTCTTCTTCCTAGTTTTGATTGTTTAATTTGTTAATTTTTTCATTCTGGCTATTTTTATTATGAGAACATGTAGTTAATTCATTGCTTTGTAATTAAGCTTTTTGAAAGTATAAGCAATTAAGATTCTTAAATATTACTTTTTGTGTAGGAAATTATGGGGTCTTTTAAAAAGGGGAACTTGGGGAAATAGGAAAGCCTTAAGAAATGATTTGAATAATTTTCATGCCTTTGATCTTTAAAAGGGCCAGTGTCTGGCTCCTTAACTAGTCCTACCTGCCCGGACCTCAGCCCATCCCTGCTGAGACCTTTGCTCCTGCTAGCTGTCTGCTCTCACCTTTAATCAATTTAAAATCACTTGGCTACAGAAATTCAAAGCGATCTGCTGGGATAACTGGGAGAGAAATAATGCCTATTTAGTATAGAAAATTTGCAACTGATTGACCTTCCAATTCATGTAGCAAATATGAGACAGATTTTCCTGTCGTGTTTTTCTGTGAAATGGAAGTGTTATCCACAGTATTTATAACCTGTTTATCTTAAGAAGAGAATTTAAAAAAAATTACCATGTGAATAGGCAACTCATTAAATGAAAATTAATAAGAAGTCATTTGTTATATCTCTCACAACACACATTCAAAAGTTATTATTATTTCAAAAGGGCTGGTTTGGAACAATCTCAGGAAGACAGTCAGTAAATTACTGCATAAATCACTCTTCAGGAAAGGAGGTTACCAATTGAGGCATTTAAAATGAATTATTATTTTGCCTGGGTTTCTTTTCTCCTGCAATATAGGTAGAAGGTGAAATTAATTGAATTTATTATTAACATATGCAGTGTCTAATTAAATTTCACTGCTGCCTATTTATTTTTCTGTAACATTCCTCATATTTTAGTCATGGGGCACCAACCTTCAACTCACACAGGCCACAAAGTGATATGAATTTTCATATCCAGAAAATCCCTAAGAATTCGTCTCTAGCTTTTCAAGACATCATCATGAACTAGGTTTGAGGAAGTGGACCCCGACTCTTTCTCAACTCTTTCTCCCAGTGGTTTTAGTTCACTAAGGTAATGGGGCTGCAGGCGTTGACCAGCTTTCCTTAGGGGGCGATTTGCAACTGTATTAAAAATGAAAAAGGAAAAAAGATGAGTGAGATGATTTAATCATGAGTCAGGGCTGCTAAAGTGTGATGCAGCTTCTCCAGATGACTTAGCCCACATCAGGGAACGCACAGGATAGGTTCTGGAACCCTTGCACTTACTGAGCTGAGACGGAGATAAACTTTACTCGACATGATTCAAAACAATAACGAGATGTTTTCTGGGCCCTTACTGCGCATTAGGTTCTTGGCAGACTGCGTCTCCTTGAATCCTTTCACATTCTTGGGGCTAGATGGGTGACTTTAGTGGCCAGCCCTCCTGTGCTGATCCGTTTGCGAAGCTGTTCTAACCAGGTGCCCCTCTGCTTGCTTTCGGAGGACTAAAAGCCCCCAATCTGTCACAGAATTGCCTTAGTGTCCAGGATACCCTGAACCTCCTCCCCTTTCCAGAGATGTGCATCTGCATTGTGGTGGTGACCCTCTCTGTGTACCATAAACTGTGCCGTCCTCTGCATAAACCATGTGTAAGACACTTGTCAAAACGTCCCTCATTTTAGTGAGGCCCAGAGAAGGATACTAAAGTAACGTTTTTCTGTGGAAGCACAGAAGTTATCTTGTTCACTGGAAGGAAAAATAACATTGGGGAAACTGTAGAATAAACTGATCCAGAGAACTTCAAAGATCACGATGCTCACTTAAATAAGCATCCCTCTTAAAACTTTCTGGTCAATGTACCTTTGGGGCATATTTCACCCTTGGAAGTTTATGCTCCCATTACAATTGGCTTTCTGGTTCTCATTGTTCCATTTGAAATGCCTGTCACTCACTACAGTGAGTGGCCCAGGCCTGTAATCCCAGGGACTCAGGAGGCTGAGGCAGGAGGATTGCAAGTTCAAGGCCAGCCTCAGCAATTTTGTGAAACGCTGTTTCAGAGTAAAAAATAAAATGGGTTGGGGATGTATCTCATTAATAAGAGTAATAAAGCAACCCTGGGTTCAATTCCTGGTTAAAAAAAAAAAAAGAAAAGAAAAAGAAAAAGAATGAATAAAATACAGTCACTCTGTCCACAATGTTTCACCAGGCCATCTTCTAAGCAGGCGAGTGCCCTGCTTCTTACTAACAGGAGCATCCACCCTGCTGATATAAAGAATGAGAGCCTTACCCTGTCTCCTTCAGCATGGCTTTCTCCAGCAAGTCCAGGGCCTGTAGAGAGCTCAGGTCAATGACTCTTTCCCATTTCTTCTTGAACTGAACTGATGAAGAGGGCACAGCGCATTTCCCAGAACTCCCCCCTTTTCCCATTGTTCCTTTAGAAAGTTCTTCCGTAGAAGCTGCCTGGGGTAGGAGCAATGGAGAAGGCAGCTGATCTAAGTGGCAGGTCCTGTCCTTGCACTGTCATTGGTTAGTATGACTCTATCTGCTGCTGCTGTATGGCTGAACTTTGCTTTCCCAGACTACAGCTAGATCAGCAATGGCCCACAGAAATACAACCCGAGCTGTCAATTCCAGCCACGGGTGTAATGAGAACCGTTCTAGTGGCCGTGTGAGGGCACAGCAAGAAGTTGGAGCTCAAGTGAGCTCAGTGGTGTGTTTCCTCTAACCCAAGATATCCAGGATGCCACTGATTTAACATATAATCACTATTAAAAAAAGACTACCGGGATATTTTATTCTCTTTTGTTTTTCTTGTGCTGAATCTTTGAGTCTGGTGTGCATTTCTGGTGTGCGCACCCAATTCACACTAGCCACACTTCAGTTTTCATGGCCCTTGAATGAACAGTATAGATTTAGATGGCGATGCCCTCTGAATAAATCGGCCATTGACGATGTGCATGTTCTGAGTGCTCTTATGATCTTATTTTGGTTTGGTTTGGCTTGGCTCTGCTATACAGGTCTATGCGTGTGATTTTCATGTGTGATGTTTGTGTCGCTTTTAAACCCAGTATATGCCGTAAGGTGAGGATGTGGATTGGAGGAGACCAACAGGCTGGCGACATGGTCATATTTGTCCCTATTAGTGCTCCCTGCTGACCGCTCCATCTCTTTTAATTACAACAGGGCTCTGCCCTGCGAGCGGGCGCAGCTATGCTGGGAGAGCTTCTGCCTCATTTACTCTGGCGGATTCTCATCCACTGTGGGTCAGTGGTTCATTTTCTAGAGGTCACAGCATTCGTACCTAGGACACAATTCCATTCATTATAATGAAGGAATGTTTTCCTTCCAAGGCGGCATGACCAGCGGACTTAATTTTTCCTGATATGTCACCTGTAAAATTTTAATGATGATGTTTAAACTCCAAATGTAGCCAACAAGACAAAAAAAAAACTGCCAGTTTGGAGCTCAGAGTGTGTGGGTGGGTTTCTGTTTTGGTGATTTGAAACACTGTGGAACATCATCAAAATGCGATACCCAAGAATCATATGGTATCAATCATTCCTCGATATACGGATGGATCTGTTCATTGCCAAGACAGTTCAATGAGCTGGTGAAAACATATGGAATCTCTTGCTTTTGAAATGTGAAAATAAAATTTAACCAGTCATGTATCACAGCTTGCAAATTTAGTCATCCTTTGAAAAGCATTTTAATTTGGACTTTATGATTAAAATTTTGTGAGACTCTTAAGAGAGATTTGGAAAATCTTCCCAGTTTTGAAGAGCAGAGTTTCGTTACCAGAGGAAGAACAGGACTGAATTCTGGAGGGGATGTGGAAACCACTTTGGTACTGCTCATGTGGCTTCCCCAGTATATTTGGAACAGAATCCTGGGGACTCAGGGTCTCTGTGACCATGGTTGAGAGTTGGTACTTCACCTCTGTGGTCCCCTGTAAGCTTGCCTTTTGTGACCCAACCTGCCCCTGGTGACCCACTGGTCACCATTTGGACACTCTGCCTCTCTCCTATTGCCCTGCCTGAGGCGGAGGAGGAAGGCTTACTTGCCAGCCTGGCCCATGTGGGCCGCCAGCCTGTTAGCCCAGGGGCCCTGTTGTCCAGTCTCCTTCATCTAGGAAAACAGTCCAACAAGTAGAGTTTTCTTTTTATTGAAACAAAAGCAACCCAATGGAATACTGAGCAGTAATGTGGGAAAACAAAGACCTTGAACGTCTTCAGCCTGACTATCCTCTAGCCTTCCTAGACCTTGACATTTGCACGATTACTTCAGAACACCTGCAAGTATTTGAGAATGAGTATTCCCTGCAGGAGACCCTAGTCCCCAATAAGGCAGGGTGTGTATTATTCACCCTGGCACTCTGCAAACCGGGGCCTGAAATGGTGGGTACACAAAGAGTCCCTTCACAAATGTGGAGTTAGCCCTCGTGACCAGAGTGAAGCAAACTGGATGTGTGTGAGTCTCTCCATTTCTGGGCATTAGACAATCTCAGCAGCTCACTGATTTTTTTTTTCTTGCATCTATAAAAAGGAGGTGAAACTAGGTGATTTCTTAACATCTCTTCCAGTTCAAATGCTCTATGATCTATAAAATGAGAGGCTGGCTGTTCTAGACAAGGTCCTCCCGGCTTTAAAACTGTGTGACCCTTCCTGTGTCTCTTGAAGTCTCCCTCCGTGGACGGATTTCAGCCCCATCATTAGGGTGGTGAGCTCACGGCCTTCACGCGCTCCTCAAACTCATACAATGGCTACTGGTAATCAGAGCCCAGACAAGTTTCCTTATCAGAGTGAGGCTGCTTTTCTTCCCTGTCACTGTCTTTTACTTTCTGGGTGGGACATCACAGATCAAAGAAGGTGCTAGTG